ACAACTTGAGACCATATGACTTATGAAGAGAGGCTGAGGGACTTGAGTCTGTTTAGTCTGCAGAAGCGGAGAGTGAGGGGGGATTTGATAGCAGCCTTCAAATTCCTGAAGGGAGGTTCCAAAGAGGATGGAGAGAGGCTGTTTTCAGTAGTGACAGATGGCAGAACAAGGAGCAATGGTCTCAAGTTGTGGTGGGAGAGGTCCAGGTTGGATATTAGGAAAAAGTATTTCACTAGGAGGGTGGTGAAGCACTGGAATGGGTTACCTAGGGAAGTAGTGGAGTCTCCATCCCTAGAGGTGTTTAAGTCTTAGTTTGACAAAGCCCTGGCCGGGTTGATTTAGTTGGACTTGGTCCTGCCTAGAGCAGGGGGCTGGACTTGATGACATTCTGAGGTCTCTTCCAGTTTTATGATTCTATGATTCTATGAACAGTTTAGTATCGTCCGCAAACTTTGCCACCTCATTGCTTACCTCTTTCTCTAAATCGTTTGAGTAAGTTGAATAGGATTGGTCCTAGGACTGACCCTTGGGGAACACCACTAGTTACCCCTCATCATTCTGAAAATTTACCATTTATTCCTATCCTTTGTTTCCTGTCTTTTAACCAGTTCTCAGTCCATGAAAGGATCTTCCCTCTTATCCCATGATGATTTAATTTACATAAGAGCCTTTGCTGAGGGCCTTGTCAAAGGCTTTCTGGAAATCTAAGTACAGGCAGTCCCCGACTTACGCGGATCCGACTTATGTCGGATCCGCAGTTACGAACGGGGCTGCCCCAGAGTACATGGACTGCGGGACCTCGCGGTCCTGCGGCCCGTGTACTCTGGGGCTTTCTCTGCGTCTCTCTGGTCTGCAGACCAGGAAGACGCAGAGCAAAGCCGCGGAGGGGCCTCCAGGACATCTCTTACCCTTCCCTACATCGTTGGTACCCACATGTATCATGACCACCGGCTCCTCCCCAGCACTATACATAAGTCTATTTAGATGCCTTGAAAGATCCGCAACCTTTACACCAGGCAGGCAAGTTACCATGCGGTTCTCCCGGTCATCACAAACCCAACTATCTATGTTTCTAACAATCAAATCACCCACTACTAGCACCTGCCTCTTCCTAACAACTGATGTTTCCTCTTTCCAGAGAGGTATCCTCACCAAGTGTGTTTGAGAATCTTAGCTGTAGTATTGGAGTGTATAGCTGCATTCAGTAATATTAACTCATAACTCACTTCATGGCAAAAGAATATTTGTGTCTCTTTAAGGTCTGGTCAATCATTTAGTCAGTTTGAGAGATGTTGGAGTTGGTAACTAAGAAATCTAATTCCCACAAGCCTCAGATTTCTGCAAGGAGGACTGAAAAAGGGAAACATGCTTTTTAAGAACTTAAGTTGATTTGTTTCTTCTGGTGCTGCTTCTGTTTCTGACAAAAGAAGAGGCGTTATAAAAGGGACAGCTGTGCTGAAATCCTGTCCCCACTGAAGGTAATGGCAGAAGTCCCATTCACTTCAACGGGGCCAGAATTCATTCTGTAAGTTGAACTTTCTTCAGCCTACTTCCTGTGTTAAGTCACAATTCTCATTGCTTGGAACTTTAATTATGAGTGTGCCTGACACTTTTGAAGTTTATAATTGGCTTCTCTAGTCAGTTTAGATGTTCCCTTTGATGGCAGTTGAATGAATGCTGGCCTTGTGATTAATGGTCACTAGTGATTAAAGCAGAGATCTGAGTGGTGAGTAGTCTAGATTCCATTGTAGGTTTAGCCACACTTTCTATCTTGTCTTGACTTTTGTGCCTTAAGTTTCTATCTGTAAAATGGGGATAATACTATTTTCTCTCTTTCAGGACTGTTGATCCTTAATTCACTCTTGGTAGTAAAAATACACTAAAATCTTTGGATGGAAGGCAATGCTATGGAAGTGTAGTATTATGTCAAACTCTTAGGTCTTTACAAAAACAAATTCCAAATCACTCTCTAAAAATGAGTTTGAGTAAAAAGGGAATAAAAATTGACTACAGAACTCAGTATTGTCCATTACTACTATTATTATTCTGGCCATGACAAGAGGTAGCCTTATCCTGTTCTCTTTTTTACTTAATATTATTTATGGATCACTATGTAATTCTGTCTGAATATTTTCTCTAAAGAGATGTCTGTTTCATGTTCATCATCTTTCTATATCAGGTTTCTGGGAGTGTTCCAGTCAGATACATTTGATTTTGTATTAAAGGTGTATGAATAGGGTATTTGGGTACTTTGTTGTCTGACAGCTTCTTCTATGCATGCTGTTCCAACTTTGTGGGCAAAATTTGGGACTATCAGAGAGACATCTGTTAGTTGGTTCATAGAGCCACTTCCATTAAAACTGTTCAAGAGTACCAGTTCCTATGTGATTCAAACTACAGTGGTCCTCACTCAGGGATACGTATACTCCTGAATGTATGAAGAGGTCTTCCTGGGGGCAGGGGAAGGAGGGCAGGTACATCAATTAATCTAGATTATTTGCCTAATTTTACTATAGGCTGCATAGCATAGAAAGCATTTAGCAAACTAAAATGTCATGGACTATATATAAACTAAAATGTCATATGGATGAGGACTTGTTTATACTGCTCTATAGACTAGGGATTTAAAATCCCATTTAATTAATTAGTAAACCAGTAAAACTTGAACTAATAAAATGGGGGTAGGGGCTGTTTCTGACCCCATGCTGAGCTGCTGGCA